CTCCAAGGTAGCATTTCTTTTTTTATACAGTTGCATCACATTGCTGAGTGAGTTTAAGTGGACTAGGACACTCAGATCCTTCTCACAAGTAGTTCCCTAGGAAGCATCTTCCTCCAGTCTTATGCAAGTCCTCAAAACTTCTCAGAGACTATTGAGAACAGTTTTTCAATTATCTCTGCTTGACTAAAATCGTAACAAAATACTAGGTTTAGAAGGTGACTATGGAGGCAGCCCATTTTTCCCTTTTGATAAGATTATGCTCTATCACCAATGCTCAGTCATATTTTAGAATTCTCTTGGGAGTCACAGGAAATGTAAGCAGAGACCATGGAGGCCAGGAGCACAAGTCCATTTTGCATACTAGTTGTAGCTATTCTCAGAATAGGGGCAGGTCACTTCGCACTTGGAATCCTCTTGTCATTTCACATTTGGACAATTTCAACTTACTCTATATGACACTGCCCTAAAAGATCATTTAGAAGCTTTGACTGGCTCAAAATGAGCAAGCCAGATTTGCCTATGTCATACATCTAGTGTAGGAACTAAATTGACCGCTGGTTGGCAGTCAAGGTGCCGATCGTTATCTTTAAAATCCTATTTAGCTTATGAACCGAGTATCTTTGGATACTGCATGCGGATGGTAGAATCTGCCACTTCAGTGTGAGGTCCATGAAAAAAGGTGGGCTGCAACTCCCACCTCTGAGAGGCATCTTGACCTCAGAAATAGGATGGCAAATGATCTTGGTGATAGCTCTCTAAAACAATCTGTCCCTAGAGACAATGATAGTTCCTTCCCAATTAATACTTCATGGAGCAGTGAAGAGCTAGCCCTTCTGAAGGGCCCTTCAACATAAAGCAGCTGTGAATGTTTTGAGAGAAATAACACTTGTGTATTTAGTTAAAAGTGGGAATATGACTTTAGATTGAATTTGTTTTGGAGGGGGGGTGTATTTCAGTGATGGGATTCAATTTTTTTTACTACCAGTTCTGTGGGCGTGGCTTGGTGGGTGTGGCAAGGGGAAGGATACTGTAAAACCTCCAGTCAGAGGTGGGATTTGCCATTCTCCAAACTACTCAAAATTTCCGCTACTGGTTCTCCAGAACTGGTCAGGACCTGCTGAGTACCCCCTCTGGTGTATTTACATTATTTTTAACTTTCTGAACTTTTAACTTGGTACTAAAAAGAAGGATCAAAACTGTATTTTTTAAATGGACCATTTTAATCATATTTTATTCCCAAGTGCTTTTCCATAAATCTTAGGACAATTCATATAATGATGAATATATTAATTTCAGACAATCAGGTAAGCTCACCACTTGCACAAAATGTCCCAACTGCAGACTCCTGCCCGCTTATCTTTATTCTTGTATTCTTAGCACCCAACAAATTCTTTCCTCAAGCTCTCATATTTGCTAAATTTCTCTCCCAACTTAGAGAGACATTTGTTAGAGAGCTCCTCTTGAAAGGGTATTTTTCTTTTTAGCTATATTTTTTATGGAGTCATCATGTGAGATAGGTAGCCAAATAAGTCCTGTAAGTAAGTAAGTAAATGTCATGCATAAATAATCTTATCAAAATGCCTTTTACTGAATAAATGTGTTCTTCTTTGTTGTAGCAGCAGATAAAATACATATAGGACTTGTTTCGTTCCCTACGGAAATGAAAGCAGGATTCAAGCATATTAAAATTGCATGCAATATGCGGATGGTGCTTGTATTGCAAACAACTACTGATTTAGCCAAAGCTAATTGTTTAATCCTGCACAACTAGGGAAAATTGAACTGAATGGTTGCAAGGCTAACATTTACAGGCACTGTCCAAAAATTTTACTGCTTTTGGAGATATGGGATGGCAAGGCTACTTTCTTGTCCAAAGTCCTTCTGTATGACTTGCCTATTTCTATGGCATTGTTGTATAATTCTGTTATCTTACAACTGCTACCCAGATAACCAACAGGCTGTTTTGTTATCCTTTTTTTTCATTCCTCCTAAAGGAACAGACTTCAAGAATGTCTTGTGGTAAAACTTCGAAAAGTATCCCAATGAAATTTTAAAGTTGTTTAAACTTTCCCCAAAAGTAATACAGTTTTAGAAATTTTGTAGTTTTCCCATTATAGCCCAAACAGACAAATCTTTTAAAATAGAATCTTGAATATCAAAATGGTTTAAATCAAATTGGCTTGCCATTTAATCTCAGATCACAAACTTGAATCAAATCATAGAAACTTTATGTGATTCCAAGGATAGAATAGAACAGGATAGAATCCTTGTCAAATGTGATCAAGATCGCTTTACATAGGAAAGTAGAATACATGTGACAGACAAACCGGAACTTTTTAAAAAAATCAGATTTGAGAAATAAATTTGTTTTTCAAGCCTCTTCTAATGGGCTTTAATTGCAGAGATATGGTCTACTGCCTAGAAGCTTTGAAAACATCATGTCAAATCAAGCATTTAATCTGAGCATTTCAAACTGTGATTCAATATTCTTAGAATACTGGAGTACATTAGACATACAATGAATGACTTGACTCAAAATTGGAAGCTTACAAAATGCATTTTGAAAGAAATGGCTGGAATTCTCTACAGTATATCTCAAAGAGTCTTCTTTTTCATTCTCTTACAGTTGATTTTCTTACAGAGATTTTTGTGAAGGCTATTAAAGCAAGTCTACTCTTGTAGCTGAACAAGCTTCAGAGAAGTTTCACTGGAAGAGAAGTCTAGGATTTAGGAGTGTCTTTTCCATTCCTTTCTCAGCCTATTTACCTATTAATGCAGGTAGTCCTCGATTTACAATCACAATTGAGCCCAAAATTTCCATTGCTAAGACAGTTATTAAAGTGAATTTTGCCCCATTTTACAACTTTCTGGGTGCAGTTGCTAAGTGAATCACTATACTTGTTAAGCTAGCATTATGTTAAGTGAATCTGGCTTCCCCATTGAGACTTTGCTTGTCAGAGGGTCACAAAAAATGATCACATCACCCTGGGAGACAGCAACCATCATTAATACAAGCCAGTGACATTAGATAACATGATAGTAGTGTTCCAATATCTACACGGTTCCCACAAAAAACAGGGAGTCAGCCTGTTCTGCAAAGCACCAGAAGGCAGGACAAGAAGCAATAGATGGAAATTAATCAAGGACAGGAGCAACCTAAAACTAAGGAGAAATTTCCTGACAATTAGAACAATTAATCAGTGGAACAACTTGCCTCCAGAAGTTTTTAAGAAGAGAGTAGACAATCATTTGTCTGAAATAGTATAGGGTTTCCTGCCTGAGCAAGGAGTTGGAACTAGAAGACCAAGTTAGAATACCATCTAACCCTGTTATTCTGTTATTCAGTTGCCAAGCACCTGAATTTTGATCCTGTGATCAAGGGGATACTGCAACAATCGTGTAAAAAAAAAAAGATTACAGGTCATTTTTTCCAATGCCATTGTAACTTGAACGGTCTCTAAATGATTGGTTTTAAGTCAATGACTACCTGTAAGAGGCAAGTCTAGTGCAGCAGGGAAAATGCCAATACAGCCTATGATTGGGTTCTCTTGACATGCTAGGTGCTAGGTTTGCTTAAGTATGGATTGTGTGGCCTTAAAAATGTGAATTATAAATACATTAAAACTGAACAAACCATGACATTCTTAAATCATTGTTCCATTATTACTTTGCTCTGCCCCATGAGTTAAATGAACGTGAAGAACATTTTGTATTAGAAAGTTTGTGCCAAAGCCACATGATTGAAAATGGGAGTCAGGCTATTAAAATTTCATACCAAGCTTTGTAAAATAATTCTACAAAGAAAGATAGTTAAGAAATCTATCAAGCTAAGCTCCCTTGCGTCATTATTACAGGGAATTTAGTTGATTTTCTTCTAGACATAATTCTTAGACAATAGTATGTAAATAATCCATATATAAACCTGGAAATTTTAGGCTTCCTTTAAGCACAAAAGCTAGCTGATCAATTTTGGCCAGTCACTCTTCTCATCCCAACCCCCCTCGTAGGATTCTTGGTAGGAAGGAAATAGACAGGACTATTAGGTATGATCACCATCGTGAGTTACATATAAAAAATGCAGGATATCAAATCTAAATCTGATGATAATAACACTGAACATCACAACTAGTCAATTGCAAAAGGCAGCTTTACTTGGAACAGTTTATATCATGCAACAATACCTTTAAAACCATCAAACAGCAACACCTGGCTACCTCAGGTCCTTGGGAAGGACTCAATAGATCAATAAAAATGCCAAATCTAGCCTAAACATCTGGCTAAATATGTGATGAATAATAATAATAATAAGTGCAATCTTGATTCTACATAAAATGGGATTTTAGAGAATAAAATTTCACTTTAAACAAGTCTGTAGAATCTCAAGAAAACAGTACTTCTTTAACAACATTTAGCTACAGTAAATAGCTTCTAGAGCAGGGGTCTCCAATCCTGGCAACTTTAAGACTTGTGGACCTCAACTCCTAGAATTCCTCAGCCAGCAAGCTGAGGAATTCTGGGAGTTGAAGTCCACAAGTCTTAAAGTTGCCAAAGTTGAAGACCCCTGTTCTAGAGCACTCTAGAATCTTAGGCACAAGAGCACTACTTATTTCCTATCGTTGCAACTATTCTAAATAACCTTGTACTGTACCATTACAAAATTTCCTCAGCTGTAGCACTGCAGATTACATACAACTCAGGAAATCTGAGCAAATTCCAACTTTTTAACATTTCCCCAATGCTAACTACTCCTAGTCCCACTTTTGCCCATAGCACATTTTCTGGAATTTCTGATTTCTAGAAGTGAATATATTTGGTATGTTAATACAAAAGGAAATAATAAAGATAAAATTGACATCACACTGTGTGGCACTATAAAACATAACCTTGCAATTTTTATACAACTCCATGCAAAGCTACAAAGGAACAAATGCAGACGCATAACAACCTTTCTTATTGAAACATTGAAATTTAGGATTTTTTTTTAAAAAAAAAGATCTTACCACTTCTGGAAGCAACTTAGTTGCAAGGTCATGGATGGCTTTGATCACTATACATAAAGAAGACAGAAGAAATATCACACCCAAGATGACACACGCTCTGTAAAGAAAGAAAGAAATTTATGAACTCTTATGCCCTGCTGTTTAATGAAAACACGGGACTAAATAATTAGCAGAATGTTTATACAGTAAACATTTTAAATAATTAATACTCCACATAACAACATTCAAGAGCAGGACATGGAAACAAAACCATTGTCAGGAATTCCAAAGTATCAAACAATTGTTCATGTAGTGATATACCCACATTGCTCTTGTCACTTATTCAGGATTTGGGAAGTAGTCTGGAAATGTAAATTGCATAAATGTGAATAAACCTGGTGTACAGCCTTAGGCCTAGTTTTGTACTGATGCAAGGCACCCGTTTTCAGTTGACACGTGAAGCTGCACCGTAATAGCTAAAGTGACTAAAACTTCTCAAGATGGAAGCTGAAGTACCTAACTAACAGATTTTATTAACTAGCTCAAATAGATCCCCGATAAATACAGCTTATGGCAAGAAAAATGTTTTAATGTTTTGGCAATTATTCTAATAAACAATACTGTACATTCATTCGCCTTATAGCAAGCATCTGTTTCTTTTACACATTACATGAAATAAGGAAACGACATTTTCACTGTAACATTCAGAAATTTGTCACCTATTGATAAGACAGTTTGAGGCTGTTATAATTAGCACAATGTGCTACTATTTTTTAACCTATACGCATCAGCCAATCTGCTGGTTTAGAAGTGTACATAAATAGAGATCAGATGCATGACAGAGATTGCAGAAAAGATTTTCTTAAGACGTGTAGACCTATTTATTTTTCATACAGCCTATTCAGAAATGTCAAAAAAATTGTTATATGATGTAATAAGTTTTTCTTATTTTCAACCTTAGTAAAATCCAGAGTTCCTCTTTTCTTCCCAGTCAGCCACACTTACAAGCTATCTACTTACACAAACACACTATCTAATGTATCTTTCTCCATTTACTGGATGAGCTTAGTGTCAAATAAGAAAGGAAAAGACAGTTGGTGATCTCTCTTCTTAGTCATCACTAGCCTCCGTTAATGCTTCACCCTTCCAATTTTATGGCCTTATGGGCTATTTTGTAGCATGTTAGAATGCAAGTTATTACCAAGCTGCAGATCAACTCACTGGACATATTATAGATGAGGGACAGTACACCTCCCATTGTTGATGCCTTATCTGGCAGTAGAGCAAGGATATTTGGCAAGTGATGTGGGAAGAAAAGGTAATGGGGAATAAAAATGGAAATCTCTTTTAACTTCAACTAAAATCTATGGATTGAAAAAAGATAGAATTAGGTGCCTTCAATTCAGGTTCAATCTCCTAGTCATTGTAGGGACAAATGCTCATCAGCTTAACTGGTTTCCAAGAATAAAGGTTACAAAAGATAAATAAATAAATAAATAAAAACCCCTAACCGGTCCTTGAAAAAGTGTTCCTGCGTGAAACTGGTCCCTGGTACAAAAAAGGTTGGGGACCACTGCCTTAGGGTATAAACGGCCCCCGGGCTTACAAAATGGCCACTCACCTCGTGGTGGAAGGCTTGAATCCAAGATGGCCGCTGACTACAGGAAAACAGGCTCCAAGATCGAAGAATTGCTCCTTAGGCTATACAGAGCCCCAAGCGAAGTTAGCAAGGGAAAAATGCAGCAACCAGACACACAATCAGCTGGCTTGTGCTCTTATCAGTTTGCCGATCATTTTTACGATTGCTCCAACCACAGAGCTTGCCTGCACAGAGCTCTGTAACACTGCTCCTAACATTGCAGGAGAGAGAGCCCTGCTCTCCTGGAAGAGCAGCTGCCCTGGGAGCTGCTTGAAGCGAGGAAAAAAGTACTGAAGATCCCTGTGAGTGCTGTCTAACAGAACGCTTTCAGAGACACAGCTACTGACTGAAAGGAGCTGAGTCAAAAGCTGGGGTCTCTCCCGGGGGCTGGCTTTTATATCTTAGTACAGACTCAGCTAAATGACATCATAGAAAGGAGTCAACCCATCCTGGGCTCTCGATGCAGCATGGAGGAGAATGGTTCTTCTGTCTGGATTTCAGTATTCACCTTCAAGAGCAGATAATCAGATGGGCAGGACTCCTGTTACTGCTGTGAAATGCCAGGTCAGTTTGCAAAAAATCTGCCCCCATGAATGACTTTACCATGAATGAGGATATCAGTCTGCCATCTTCATAACCAAGATCTGGATTGCTTTCTTGGAAATGTGCTCACCCAAGGTTCAGACCTTGTATAGCCATAGTTCAGGCTTTGGCTGCAAATGTCTTAATTGTGAGTATAAATTGTGTACTTGAACAAAATCAGGTTGCTTGGACCACAGCCTCCAATTTAAGTTTTCTCAGAGTTTGCTGTTGTTATTCATTGTCAAGATTTCACAGAAGAATAATCAATTGTTCTGCAATACCATCTTCCTTAATGTAACTCACAGAGTTCGATAGAATAGATCATTGATAAGAAAAGTAAATCTCCACTTTTTTTAAACCTAATTATTTTGTTTTACCCCACTTTCCTTGCCTGAGAAATCAAGCATATTAAGCGATATTTCCTAACGTCTGTGTTTTACTATTATATACTTGTCTTCTCCTGGTCGTACACAGTTAGTGTATAAGGCGTCTTTAATATTTTAAATTTAAATCCATATATTTCCTACCAATAATTCATGAATGATTCTGTAATCAATATTGGGACATAAAATAACCTGACTGAACTACAGTTCTCCATCTTCCATTACATAGTTTTTTATTCTGATGTTGCCTATCTGATTATATCATGTGCTATACATTTATGCTGCTTCAAACAGGTGAACAAATTCTCTTTACAAAACTTAATACGATTGTTTTACATAATTGAAATCTTCCAATAATTCCTCTACTTCTGCATTCCAAATACCCACTACCTTCTTTCTTTATGCCTTTCTTGCATTTTGCCATAAAATTTCTCAATTGCTTCTACTAAAGCATCTGTTGTTGGCTCGTGCATTTGTGTGACACTAAATATTCCTTAGTTCCAGCTTTTCACATTTAATGATCAAGTTGCATATGTCGTTGTAAAGTCAAAAACTTCTCTTTCAGTGCCATCTCCATCAGTTACCCGAATTCTTTGCAGCTAATTGTATTATCACCTCAACTTCATAGAAGTTCACTGCTCTTCCCACATCTCTTCCTCCAAGTTTTATCCCATAACTGCAGCAAGAATTACAAACCTCAATGGTTTATATTTAGCCTCCATTTGAGAGAGGGTGCCCTGAAGGCTGAAGGCAAACCTTTCACAAATCCATGATGATTGGAAATTGGTCCTCACAATAGTATATTTAACACTTTCATATTGCCTTATGATTCCTTTTTTATTTTTACCAATTCAGCATCATTGACTACGGTTGGCACTAAAGTAACCTAGTATGACAGACAAAATCAAAACTCTATTTTGGAATAATAATAATAATGAGAAATTTGCTGACACTATGTTACTGGAAAGCCAGAAAAGGATGACTGCAATATCAGCATTGCCAATATGTGAAGTCCCATTTGACATGAGGTGATGGGAAACAGGCCTTGTATGATATAGACAATTATTCTACATTCATTCAACAACTGTGAATTACTTTTATCCTGAAATAACTGTAGCCTTATTTTTGAACAATTGCCTGCCCAAGGTCATCCATACCTAAGCAGCAATTTTAACACAGTCTTTCAACACCTCAGCACTACAGATTCACTAGTGTTTAATGTATATTGCATTAAATCGGTGTGAAATCTTTGATCCATCACCTAGAGGTGTTTTATAAACTCTGCATAAACCTTAAGCCTGTGTACATTTTTAAATAAAAACAGGTGTTAGTTGGAAGCTTATTTAAAAAGCCAACTAGCACTAGATAGAAGAGAAAGCATAATGGTTTTAAAAATTTTAAAATTATCCATCTGAGAAATTAATGTTGCTGAATTAGAAATCCCAGCAGTGGAAGTCAACCTCAGGGAGCAGTGGGGGTTGTGATTCAAATATATCTGAAATATCTGAAATATATCATATTTGACTTTAGCAGACAAAACAGATAATGTAAATTGATTCTGAAACTAATCAAGAAGAGAGCAACCTGGAATTAAGGAAACCTCCCCTAACAGTGAGAACAATTAACCAGTGGAACAGAAGTTGCCTTCAGAAGTTGTAGGTGCTTCATCACTGGAGGTTTTTAAGAAGAGATTGGACAGCCACCTGTCTGAAATGGGTTAGGATCTCCTGCTTGAGCAGGGGGCTGGACTAGAAGACCTCCAAGGTCCCTTTCTAGCGCTATTCTGATGGATTGATTCTCAAAGAATCAATCTATTCAAAGAAAAAAAATACAGATAAGAAAAACACTAAGGTTTAGATAGAACATATAGTTCTGTTCCTTTAACATGAAATGATTAATCCACATATTTATTTTTAGTTCCAGATAGTCATATAAGAAAATAAATGATATATATAAACACCTACATTTTAAATTGTACATCAATTAATCATACCTAAGGTATGGCATCCTTGTTATATAAAAAAGAACTGTTTGTATTTTATAAACCATAAATATGTTATTCAGTCATAACATATTTCTCAGCTTTACTTTTATATAAAAAAATCTATTTAGAAATTGAATAGAAGCAGTATTTTTTTTTTCAATATTGACTCTGCTCAGGCAATATGTGCAACACTTATGAATTGGTGATGATTACCACACAAGAAAGTCCTCACATATAAATACAGTCTTCCCACTGAAGACAATCTGTATTCAGGAATTATTTCCTCAAGGCTATCAATCTATACAATTTATAGGAAATGCGTTTCTCACAGCTTCTTAACTGTTTTCCAATGGACAGGCAAGGCAATTCCTTAGGAAATATTTATTTTAAAGCAAATAGCTCCTCTCCAACCATATTATTATTATCACTACAGAAATATATCCTTTCCATTTTCCTAAAACTTGGATCAGAAACATATCTATCAATTTAGAAATAGTAATGTTTTTCCTATATTGGGGTGCACACTTTTA